GTTCGGGCAGATGAGTTGCAGAAAGTCACGGTGCCGACTTTCATTGACCAATCACACTTGCAATTTGTGTCAGAACAGGAGACGTTGGGAGTTGTGCGCTGGATAACATTGTTCAATCTATCAAAAAAAAAGACAGAGAGCTAGGTAAAGCTAGGTTTTTTTTTTTTTTTTCATACATTGAAAAAAAGGAAATAACTTCCAGCACAGCACTTCAGTGGCGAGTCGACTACTGTAGCCAAATAGCATTTGAAAATAGTATTTTTTAGCAAAGCCTATGTTGTCGGATAAAATTACGCGATCGACATTAATCCGTGCGCGCACGTTACTTAGGAGTTTGAATATCAGTTGCTGTGCCTTTAAATGAATACCATCACTAGCTCTCCTTCCTTTAGGAATATTTTTAATATTTTTTGCACTTACATTCGAGAAGGCTTATGATCGGATGGGGCACATTTTCTTGTAAGATCAGAGAAGGACACAGTTAACGCTGTCTGTGATTTTAATAGAAAAAAAATGAGACTCACGTACCCCTCCCCACGTACCTTGTGCCATTGATAAAGAGATAGACTTCACCAGAAGCGTTCCAGGTTAGCGCCAGATGATGCCATATTCCATGACGAACACTTGCATTTACACTTTGCAAACTCCAGGTACTATTCAATTCCATGCTTTTAATTGTTGCATTAATCTCATTTTCAGTTGTTCGGGTGATGCTGAGCCCGCAATCACCATTTCCAAACTCAATTAACCCCTGTGTAGTTGAAGCCTCTTGGAAAGCTATCCAAAATGGAACGCTAAAACCAGTTTGGTTGCAGTATTTTACGTCCACATAGCAAGAGTTGTATCTAACACCAAAGTCAATCCATGTATCTTGACCATAGACATTTAGGCCGATTTGAGGTGGAGACCACGTAATCTCTGCATTACCTGTGGTAATCAGAAGACGATGAAGCCGGTATACAAGAAATATGAGGACACCTCCAATGATCAGAGCTAGATGACTGGAACCTCTTTTTCGTGTCGAATACTTTTCGAAATTAAAAATCTCAAGACTAACTCATTTTCCGCGCTTTGGTTGGAAGAGGTATCAATGATTTAGAGGGCATTAATTAGTTATTCGTTACCTTTGATATACCCGTTCCACCATCCGTGGTTAAATTGCCTGTAATCATACACTTGGTTGTATCTTATTTCACTCAGTGGCCAATTGTGATCAGATCCAGAGTACCATGCCTTTGGGGCTGTAAGCAAACCTGCAACCTTTCAATAAATATAAAAAAAACCCTCTCTTTATAGGTCGAAATAGAAGCGGAGTAAAATCAATTTTCGAAAAAAAAAAACAAACAAAAAAAAATCTTTTGTTAAATACAACATTTCTTCGCATTCCCATGATGTCTTTACTTTCAGACGAAATGTGGTATCGTAACCGACTGATGCTGAGAAAAACTAACATTAATGGATATCCACTCTTTTGTATACTTTGCGCAATAGAAACGGCATTGCATGAATCCTGCTCTTAGAAATAGCTTGTATATCAAGATGCAGCGAAGCTACAAATTGACGATGATCAGTGTGGTTAAGTGAAAGGATGAGAACGAAAGTCACCCACTCAAAATGTTTAAACTTTATCGATTTTCTGACATTGTCTGCAATAGATAAAATATTAATGCACCTTTCTGTGTGTTAAGTAAAAAGTAACTTTGTCGCTCCCCATAAAAATAATTTGCAAAAGGAACCCCGCTGAGATTTAAAAAAAAACTAAGAGCGAATCATTAATTTTTAACATATGATATGTAAATAAGATCCACCTGGCTTTTGATAATTACATTTTAATCATTGTTGTGTTTAGAGATATGCAAAAAAAGTAATGTTTGGATGACACGGAACTTTGAAGAGGAGAAGAAAGAAAAATAACTTTAGGGCTTTACATTTTCCCTCGCTGTTTACTGACCAGCATAATAATAAATTTCCATGATAACAAAATCGTCATTTTGTCCATTCACGTGCACTGCGTTTATTTCTTCGAGAGTTCGTCTGGAATCTAAACAAAATCAAAAGGTTTAATCGTTCCTATCCACTTAATTTTTGAAGAACCTAGAAAGCGCTTTGCTGGCATAAATAGCAAATCCTTCTTGATGAAACAAACTGAAATACTGTTTCTTAGAAGTAACTAGTACATAATCATTAATCATTTATCATATCGAAAAATATTTTCTAATCTACCCCTTTCCTCCTCCACCTTAAAAGAACACAGGTTTGATTTTCAATTGAAGAATATCTCTTTCTTCGTTGAGAGAGGAGGCTGTCTTTAATTTGATGATTAATATTCACTGCTAAGATCAAAACTCTACGTTAGATACTCCTCGAAAGGTTGCACAGTATGTCTTTTAAGTCTGGTGTCCATACGCCGTTTTTATATTCCCTAAAATGCCTCAAAACGTTTACCCTTTCCCAAGAGATTATAAATTGTTTATATTCTCTTGCCCTTTTCGAAATCGAAATCTCCCTTAAAAAGAAAAAAAAAACACTAGTCACGCCTAATAAAATTTGTTTTAAGGAGTTAAACAACGTAATCAGTAATTCATCAACGGCTGAAATTTCAAGATAAAGTTACATTTATGCCAAACATTGAAGGGTGGACGTACCTTTTCGATCTAGCTTGTCACCTCTACAGTGCTTTATATATGACGTACACCGGTATAAAAAATTTTCGATGTTGTTGTAAAGTTCTAGACCTGTGTCACCGTGGAAATCGTCTGGTTGGGAATTCAGAGAAAGCCGAACACTACCAAAACAGCCGGTGATACAGTAACTATAATTATTTTTACGGAGCCTTTGAAAGGAAATTTAGCAGACGAGCAAACTAAAATAGTCTTAGCAGGGACCACGCAGCAAAACAATTTCAAAGGATATACAATTTCGGATTCCCTGCAGGGTACACTTCTCTTGTTGAATCATTTGTGGGTTAGTTGACGACAGAGAGCCTCCCAAACAGGAAAAGAAGAAAACCTGAATAACTCAGAACCAATCAAATGAAAGAAATGTTTTGGTTTATAAATTCGTTTTTAAAAGACGAAACTGAATAGCATTGCAAGTTCTATCTCCTAAAAATTTTGAACAGCGCCGTTTCTTTTTTTTTTTAATATCCATTTCAAAGTGAATGATCGTTTCCTTTCAGCTAGGTTCCATTTAGACTATTCAATGTAGCAAAAATGCGGAACAATACGTATTAATTTCTCGCTGCGTCATGCATCATTGGGTGCCGAGAAGAAAGGAACACGTTAAATTTTACAATTACGGTTTAAATGCAGGTAGCTTTCATTCTTGAAAATCCAGGAAGATTAAACATCTTGAAGTATACTAGAATATCATTGATATTTTTCAATGGTGCAGCTATCTTCCAAAGCCAAGCTCGATACCAAAAAGAAGTCAGAATAAAGTTTGGTAACAAATGAAAACGAGTCCACTTAATTTGAATAATACAGCATACCTCAGTATTTTGTAATCTTCCAATTTTTCAATTTGGTCAGCAAATACTTCAGAAAGGAAAATGCAAATCAATATTCGAAGAAAAGTGGCCTTTATTCCGTTAATTGCTAGGGGGGGTGTGAAATTACTATGTTACTGCCAAATGATATATGTATATATATATATTGTGGGAGGAAAAAGACAAGTAAACTACAAGTTCATCCCTACAAGCCTGTTTCGTGGTCGCCCACTCATCAGGGGATTTAATCAGAATAAACTTTACCATTGCTTATATACAATATAATTTGCATGATCTAACTAGTCTAATTTATGCAGCGCGAAATTGACAGTTTAGTTGTTGCGTAGGAGGGCTTTGCTTCTGTGGCGGCATGAAGACACGAGTTCATTACGTTTGTTTAGTGTTGATAGTTCGGGCCGGCAGATGATTAGGAATTTTTCTTTGAGGCAGAGGTTACATCTTTTAGTTGAGCTGTTATACGGTGAGTGCGATGAGAGAATGCGCCAGGAAATAAAGTGATCGATGTTGTTGTCTTTGAGGGTCCAGATGTGCTTGCTGAGTTCGGTAGAGTTTCTGTGTTTAGCGTGGCGGAATGATGCGGTGTGGTTTCTGTATCTTGTTTTGAAGTCATTCTCTGTGAGTCCGATGTACGTTTCTGTCGTGTTGTTGTCTTTGCGTGTAACGGAGGCTTGGTAGATTACTGATGGTTGCAGGCAGTTTCCGTCGAGCGGGCATGTGTTCTTTTGTCGGCATGTGTTCTTTTTGTCGGGCATGTGTTCTTTTGTCCTTTTGACTTGTTAGATCATGCAAATTATATTGTATATAAGCAATGGTAAAGTTTATTCTCATTAAATCCCCTGATGAGTGGGCGACCACGAAACAGGCTTGTAGGGATGAACTTGTAGTTTACTTGTCTTTTTCCTCCCACAATATATACTTCGCTCTACTTCTATGTATTGAGCACTGTTCTACGAAAATCAAGTCACACTTTATATATATATATATATATATATATATATATATATATATTTAATGTTGTACCTATGTAATACTGACCCATACTGTAATTCAGCCTTAGCTACGAGAGTATGGAATTAAACGATCATCATCAAACGATTATCATCATCTTGGAAACTTTCCATGTCTTATATTTGACATGTAAAAGAAGTGACAAGTCCCCTCACGTTACCTTTTGAAATATGAGCAATCAGCATCTAAAATAAGATCACCTGATGCAGTAGAATCTGATCGCAATTAATAAAGAGATGAACATTTCTCACCATACGTATCATTGGGAAACACTGCACTGGCAATGTCAATATGTCCCTTTAAAACTCTCGTGTAGCAATCCTGAAAGTGGCATCATTCATTATCTTAGTCATAGGAAACAAACATGTTTCTGACGGGGTATATATGGTTAGAATGGTAGTGGTAATTACGATGGTAATGATAATGATAATAATAATTATAATTATAATAATAGCAGTTATTCGAGCAATGATAAAGTTCAACAAATTTGCCCTAAAATGAAGTTCACGGATGCAACGCCATAACTGAGTCGGACTCCAGGCTCGGTCATAATTGACTTATACACGGCTTTTCTTGCACTAAGCGACCGCATGTCCTGGCTCCTAGGTTGT